TGTTCAACAGTTATAATGGTAAGTATTAGGGATGTGCAATATCTTTCAGCATTGATATTGCAATGTGTAAATGTGAAATAGTCACATCACAGGTTCTTAAATGTCGAGTTGGGATTGTAATTAACCAGAAAACACAGTTCAGAACAAAGTAAGATCTTCATTATTGTTATTTTTCAGAGCAACCTTTTATTAAACGTCAAAATTTGAAAGCTGCTTTTAGTCTAGCTGAAATAAAACAAATAGAAGAAAAAATATTATCAGACATACGGTGAAAATTTCCTTGCTCTGTTAAACATCATTTGAGAAATATTTGAAAAAGAAAAATATATATTCACACGAGGGCAAATAATGCAGACTTTAACTGTATAAGTCAGTGTTATTGCAGCAAAAACTGCTCTCTTAACTCACTTGACAATGAGTAAAAATGAAGCGAGTTTTCCCTTAAAACTTGAAAATATACCTTTTTTTAAAGTGAAAGTAACTTGTTTAAGGGAAAAACCCATCTAATTTTGACTAATTATTTCTAAAAGCAAGTACAAAAATGTAGCTTCTCTCAAAAAAATGCTTCTTGATTTAAGAACTTTTAGATGTTTGAACTAGAAACCAGGCATAAACTCTGAGTAAGGCATTTTTTAGCAGTGTGTACTTTTTTTCTGTAAAATCATAGCCTCTTCTTTCACATCCCTTTTGGGAGCTTTAAGACAAACGCTAAGGAAAGAGCTGAATGCACGTTAATTACGCTTGCAGAAGTAACAACTCGACCGCAACAGTCCATGTGAGGAACTTGTGCTAGTGGCTGAGGAAAAAAAAATCAAAGCTCTTGCTTTTCTCACAGAGGAAGAGATTTTGCAGACAGCCCTTCCTGTCTCACTTTGTGGTCATTTGGGGTTAAAAGCAGTCATTTTAGCAGCACGTGTCTGTTAGTTATCTCGTGGACTTGCTGAGGCTGATGGTTAAAAACATTTCAAAATTAAACCATTATGTCATTTTCCTTGAGCTTAGTCACTTGATGCATCAGTGGTCGCCACAGCGGAATGAACCACCAACTCATCCAGCATATGTTTTACACAGTGGATGCCCTTCCAGCTGCAACTCAGTGCTGGGAAACACCCATACACACTCATTCACACACATACTCGTACACTACGACCAATTTAGCTTATTCAATTCACCTATAGCGCATGTGTTTGGACTGTGGGGGAAACCCGAGCACCCGCCAACTGACCCAGCCAGGACTCGAACCAGTGGCCTTCTTGCTGTGAGGCGACAGTGCTAACCACTGAGCCACCATTAAGTCATTATATTACTATAGCAAAGCTAATTAAAATAACACAAACTTTAGCCAAAGAACTCTTTAACTTCAACATTGATTTACAGTCAAATAGCAGTGTATCATCAAGATGGATGAGCTTTGGGTATTTCTATCAGGTTTATATGTTCAAAATGCAAGTTTTGGAGCACACTAGCTTATAGATGTTAAAACTAACACTCTGATGCTAACATCTTAACACTTTATTTTAATTTCAAGGGACCTTTAAAGGGAAAGTTCACATAAAAACGAAAATTCATTCACTATTTGCTCTTCCTCAAGTAACCACTAACCTCTAATATTAAAGGGCATATAGTTTACCCCTTTTTTATGATTTCATATTAATATTATGGTTGTTCTGAATGTGCCAGTTTAGGTTCAGTTCAACACACAGTTCAGATGTTTTTATTATAATGTGTTAAGTGTCATGTTGGGGGCGTGTACACAGCTCGCTGTTTTAGGGGCGTGTTGCTTCACATGAAAATTAGCTTCGGCTTCCCGCCCAACGTAACAAGGGGGCGGAGCCAAGAGCTCACCCGCTCTGCGTTTGCAACAAACAGGCAGACAGAGAGAAGCTAAGCTACATGAGAGGATCAGCATGTACGACTCGGAGACCAAGCAGAGAGTAGAAAATCATTTGTGTCTTTGTATAGTGATAATGTGGAGAATGTTGATCTTGTGTTGAGCCCATTGAGCCTTGCATCTATAAATAGAGCAAGGGTGTTCCTTTAGTGACTCACACGCTAAAAATGGCGAACGTGAAACAACAAACTAAGGATATGGTGACGCGCCTGTCAATCAATATTGGTGTGGCGGGGGGACCGCACTCCTACGTCAAGTTGCAGTCGCTCTGAAAACCACTCCTACTGGTCCACCGTTTTTATGTTGTTAAATTGAAAAAAAAAAGACCTGTGTGTGTGTATATCACCCCAATATGACGGTCTATACACTATACTTACACATGTCTGTCCAAACAGCTTGAAGTGTAGATTTTTCACCATAGGTGCCCTTTAAAAGGAAGTCACAGGTTTCCAGCTTTCTTCAAAGTATCTTATTTTGTTCAGTTTTGGTGAACTACCCCTTTCCCAGCTGAAAAATCCAGCTTTAACCAGCCTAGGATGGTTGGCTGGTTTTAGCTGGTCGACCAGCCTGGTTTTAAAGGGGTTTTGGACATTTCCAGCCTGGTCTTAGCTGGTCAGGCTGGGAGATGACAAGCTAGAGCTTGACCAGCCTAGCCAGGCTGGGAGCCCAGCCAAACCTAGCTATGTCCAGCTTAAATTTGGTCAAGTTTGGTTTTAGCTGGTTTGAGCTGGTCATTTTCCAGCCTGACCAGCTACAGCCAGGGTGGAAATGGCTGGACACCAGCCTGGAAATGGCCAAAACCCCTCTAAAACCAGGCTGGTCAACCAGCTAAAACCAGCCAGCCAGCCTAGCCAGGTTGGTAGCCCAGCCAAAACCAGCTATGTCCAGCTTAAACCAGGCTGGTCAAGCTGGTTTTAGCTGGATTTAGCAGGTCATTTTCCAGCCTGACCAGCTACAGCCAGGGTGGAAATGGCTGAAAACCAGCCTGGAAATGGCCAAAACCCCTCTAAAACCAGGCTGGTCAACCAGCTAAAACCAGCCAGCCAGCCTAGCCAGGTTGGTAGCCCAGCCAAAACCAGCTATGTCCAGCTTAAACCAGGCTGGTCAAGCTGGTTTTAGCTGGATTTAGCAGGTCATTTTCCAGCCTGACCAGCTACAGCCAGGGTGGAAATGGCTGAAAACCAGCCTGGAAATGGCCAAAACCCCTCTAAAACCAGGTTGGTCAACCAGCTAAAACCAGCCAGCCAGCCTAGGCTGGTTTAAGCTGGATTTTTCAGTAGGGTAATGAATAAATTTGACTTTTTTTGTCTTTCTTCAGTGAAATAACTTAAGTTTTAGCTAATGGAGATTTTAGCACAAACCAATCTTTTTTTTTTTTTTTTAGCTTTTTTGTTTTGTCTGTGTATGTTTTTAAACCCTTAAAGTGCAGGTAGCAGCTAATTTGCAATTTATAAATCACCATAGACAACAGTTTCAGTTAAAATTCTTTAAAATTCCATAGAAACAAAGAAACAAACAAATATCAAGAGAGTTAATTGACGACAGTTTTCATTTTTGGGTCAACTTTCCCTTAAACTGTCCTCAACTGGTATAAAATGGACGTATTAAAATGTGCGTAAAAAACGTTTAAATTAAAGCACATAAGTTATTCATTCAGTGTAAAATGTCATAAATGTTTACATGCACATATTATGATTTTATTATTCGATAGATGTTGGAAGTTGATATAAACAACACCCAAATGTAAAAAAAAAAAAAAAAAAAAACTGTATAATAAAACTGTATAAACTGAATAACCACTAACTTCTAATATTAAAAGGAAGTCACAGGTTTCCAGCTTACTTCAAAGTATCTTATTGTGTTCAGTTTTGGTGAACTACCCCTTTAAATAAGTTAATTTTACGTTTTTTGTCTTTCTTCAGTAAAATAACGTAAGTTTTATCTAATGGAGATTCGTTTTTAGCACAAACCAATCATTTTTTTCTTTTTTTGTTTTGTCTGTATATGTTTTTAAACCCTTAAAGTGCAGTTGGCCAATGATTTGCACTTTATAAAATCACTATAGACAACAGTTTTAGTTAAAAATCTTTAAAATTCAGTAGAAACAAACAAACAAACAAATATCAAGAGAGTTAATTGATGACAGTTTTCATTTTTGGGTCAACTGTCCCTTTAAACAGTCCTCAACAGCTATAAAATAGATTAAGCTAAAGTTGGTTTTATATTCACACATTCAGACTTTCTCCTCAATAATATAATTTAAGAAAAGTTAGCAAATTCTAAACAGTAAAATCATATATATATATATATACATTTGTTTGATCAATGACAAAAGTACAACATTGTTCAGTCGAATAAATAGTGCTAATGTTGTTTTCAAGTCATACTTGCATGCGATTTTGCACCGAATATCCAAAGTACCTCCATGGTAAACAATGCAGCGTGTCACAAGTTGTCACTGAACGAATGGGCGAATATAAAACCAACTTTACCTCAAACTACAGATTCACTGTTTACCAGACATGCTTTCAGACACGGTAAAGTTGGTTTTACATTCGTACATTCGTTCAGTGATAACTTGTGACATGGTACTTTGAATATTTCTGAGTGAAATCACATGTAACGTTAAATATGATTTAAAAACAACAGCACTATTTAGTTTGCATTATGATTTGCTTAATTAGAATTTACACAGAATTTTTTTTCTAAATTGTTATATTATATTATTATTCTATTATTAAGGAGAAAGTCCGAATGAAAACCAACTTTACCTCAACTTAAAATAGACTTATTCATATGTGCGAAACAAACGTTTAAATTAAAGTGCAAAAGTTATTGGTTCAGTCATGAAGTATGTTTACATGCACATATTATGAGATTATTATTCTATAGATGTTGGACGTTATTATAAATAACACCCAAATGTCAAAAAACATGAGAGCAATCTGAATTATTTACTCGCTGTTTTGCTGACGTAAAGTCACTGTTTCTGCTACCTCGCGGCTGCAAGTTACGCTATTCATATAATATTTCGAGCTGTTTTCACTCTGAAAACATGTTTTTATCCCAGTACGCAAACAAAAAATACTGCAAGAAAGCGAAATCTTACCTCCATCTCCAGACGGGTTTCTCCGCGCTGATCTTCACCTCGCTTTATGTTCCTTCAAGTCAGAAACACGCAGACTTGTGAACTGAAAACGCAAACGACGGAGTAAGACACACTATGAGGAGCTGACAGCGCAACCAAGCTGAGTAAAATCCGTAAAACCTGTCCACATCTCCTCAACGATGTCAAACCGAAGAGTTTTAAGTCACGGCAAACACACGGGCTGTGTCACAAAACACCCTGACTAGACAGTGATCAGGTTATAAAGCTTCAACTTCAAGGTATGGTAAAGCACGCGCACGTTCAGATGGGTTTTACGCATCACATGAGCAATCCTTACATAAAACCAATACTATAGTAATAACATGGAAAATATAATAGTAACTTTAACATGCTAAAACAAAGTGTATTGTGCATATATATATATATATATATGTGTGTGTGTGTGTGTGTGTGTGTATATATACATAACTTTTTACACTTTTTGACAGGATACACTCTTGATATTTTCTATCCTTGAATATTTTATTCATTTCTCAGCCTGTATTTGTGCATATTGGTATTTTGGTGCATAAAACAAAACAGTTTAACAATTGCAAACTACTAAATTTCAACAAAAAGGAATATTTGTTACGTATCTTTTGGTTGCTCCTGTTTATTTATTATATCTATGCATCTTCTTCAGATTTTAACTGTGAATATATATATATATATATATATATATATATATATATATACATACACCCATCGGCCACTTTATTAGGTACACCTGTCCAACTGCTTGTTAACGCAAATTTCTAATCAGACAATCACATGGCAGCAACTCGATGCATTTAGGCATGTAGACATGGTCAAGATGATCTGCTGCTGTTTAAAGCAAGCATCAGAAAGGTGATTTAAGTGACTTTAAATGTGGCATGGATGTTGGTGCCAGACGGGCTGGTCTGAGTATTTCAGAAACTGCTGATCTACTGGAATTTTCACACACAACCATCTCTAGGATTTACAGAGAATGATCTGAAAAAGAGAAAATATCCAGTGAGCGGCAGTTCTGTGGGCGCAAATGCCTTGTTGATGCCAGAGGTCAGAGGCGAATGGCCAGACTGGCTCCAGCTAAGTAAAGGTGCCAGTAAGTCAAATAAGCACTTGTTACAACCGAGGTCTGCAGAAGAGCATCTCTGAACACACAAAACGTCCAACCTTGAGGTCGGATGGGCTACCTGAGTATTGTTGCTGACCATGTCCATCCCTTTATGACCACAGTGTCTCCATCTTCTGATGGCTACTTCCAGCAGGATAACGCACCAAATTATAAAACGTGAATCATCTCACACTGGTTTCCTGAACATGACAATGAGTTCACTGCACACAAATGGCCTCCACAGTCACCAGATCTCAATCCAATAGAGCACCTTTGGGATGTGGTGGAACGGGAGATTGGCATCACGGATGTGCAGCTAACAATTATGCAGCAACTGTGTGATGCTATCATGTCAATATGAACCAAAATCTCTGAGGAATATTTCCAGTACCTTGTTGAATCTATGACACGAAGGATTAAGGCAGTTCTGAAGGCAAAAGGGGGTCCAACCCGGTACTAGTAAGATATACCTAATAAAGTGGCCGCTGCAAAAAAAGTATTATTCAGCTTTCTTTAAAATATGTCTGTGTGTGTGTGTGTGTGTGTGTTCAACAGAAGGAAGAAACTCAGACAGGTTTGAAACAAGTAAAGGGTGAGTATATGATATCAGAATATTTGGTTTTGTGTGAACTATCCCTTTACTATTATACAACTGTTAAAAAGATACCACAAGTCAAAAAAACCGGGCATTTTAAGATGTCTGTAGCTAATATCATGTTTATTTCTGAAACATTGCAACAACCTGAAAGCAGCTCATGTCTAGCATGTGACAGAGAGATATGAAGAGCCTCATTGTGTGAATGAGAGAGAGAAAAATCAACAAAGCAAAGCATGAAGAGGAAACTTGCAGATAAATTATTATGGTGAAGGAAAAGTCATGGTTTGGGGATACATTCAGTATAGGGGCGTATGAGAGATCTGCAGAGTGGATGGTAACACCAACAGCCTGAGGTATCAAGACATTTGTGCTGCCCATTACATTAAAAACCACAGGAGAGGGCAAATTCTCCAGCAGGATAGCGCTCCTTCTCATAATTCAGCCTCCACATCAAAGCTCCTGAAAGCAAAGAAGGTCAAGCTGCTCCAGGATTGGCCAGCCCAGTCACCAGACATGAACATTATTGAGCATGTCTGGGGTAAATTGAATGAGGTGGTGTTGAAGAGCAATCCAAAGACTCTTGATGAACTCTGCAAGTCCTGCAGGAACGCTTTCTTTGCCATTCCAGATGACTTTATTAATCAGTGATTTGAGTCATGTCAGAGATGTATGGATGCAGTCCTCCAAGCTCATGATGGAGTCAGACACAATATTCATTCTGTCTCCACTGCAGCAGGACTTTATATTCTATACTGGACATTATTTCTGGAGTCACATGCTCAACAGAATTGACTGTGATCGGCCGTGAAGGTCATCAGTTCAACAAACTCACTGCGGTTTACTGAGTGTGACCACAGATGCAAGAACACTGAAGCATTTTAGAGTCGCGCCTATCAGCTGATCCGTATATAAACTGACATGAGCTATGAGCAAAGAAATGATGGATCAACTTGTTTGTGCAACTCTAAAAATGCTCCAGTGTCCTTGTATCTGTGGTTACACTCAGTAAACAGTGGTGAGTTTGGTGAACTCATGACATTCACAGCAAATCACTTCTGTTGAGCATGTGAATACAATGGCCAATCAGCGATGTTTAAGAACAATCAACAGCACTCAAATGTTAATGTCAGTACTAATTGGTACCAAACTCAATACGTTTCTCAATACCCAGATAGCATTCCAATGTGGGCCACTTTAGGCAGTTGTGCGGCACTGGTGGTGTTCCTTCGGCCCAGACTAAATGAATGTGAGCCTGAAGTGGCCCACCTGTACAAGGGCAAAGGGGGGCTAAAGATTCAAATTCATATATGGGCCTTTTAAGGCAAAGATTTGGCACTTGTGGCAAAATGTAATCTGAATGTGAGCCCAATGTGGCCTATGTGGAAATGGTAAATTTGGCCCAAATGACAGAGGACAAATGATGGCCACGGGTGGCATAGTCATTTAAGGGTAATCTGGGTCTGAACCTAAAGTGGCTCACACGTGTAATTGCAAATGTGGCCCAGTTATCTTAAGACATATATGGCCCACTTTTGGCAAATATTTGGCACAGTAAGCTCTGGCCATTGCGGCTGTGAGCCTATAGTGGCCCAGAGAAGATATGGCAAATGTGGCCCAGTTATCTTAAAACATATGTGGGCCACTTTTGGCAAATATTCGAGAAGGGTCTGGATGCAGACCTGGTGCAGAGCTGCATCCAATGCTTTTTAATGAGCTCACCTAACCCCGCCCCTAACCCTACCCATCACAGTGACGTCACTCACTCCATTGAGTGCATTGTGTCTGACATTGCATCGGTGAGTGATGCAATCTCAGTTTGCATCATAAAGGCTGCATCCAGATACTTTTGGGAATATTCGACAGAGTAAGCTCTGGCTAATGTGGATTTGAGCCTCTAGTGGCCCAGAGAAGATATGGCAAATGTGGCCCAGTTCTACTAAAACAAATGTGGGCCGCTTTTGGCAAATATTCGGCACAGTTAGCTCTGGCTAATGTGGCTGTGAGCCTAAAGCGGCCCAGAGAAGATTTGGCAAATGTGGCCCAGTTATCTTAAGACATATGTGGACCACATTGACTAAAGTCACCATCATGGAGAAAAGTGTTCGCTTTAGTTGGGCTCATAGCCCTGAACCTCTTAATACACATTTTCTTTGGGCTGCTGTAATTTTTTAAGAACTTTGATTGAAAAGTTTGTTCATTACAGCAAACAAATGATGTGAGGCACAACCTGTGATGAATTAATATTATTCACTGATGTTTACCAATGTTTAATCTATTACTGGAAGTAATAGGCCAGATCTGGGGCAGAATATAAGCAAACTGTGGCCCAGAAAAGGGTCAGTTCTGGTTCATTTGGTTGAATTCTGGCTGATATGTGGTATTGCTTTGGCTTATTTGTGGCCCAGATCTGACAAACAGGAGCGGACCGCCCTACAGCCATCATTCCATTCAGTATGTGGTCCAGATGTAAGTGTCTGGTGTGGGCCGGATCTGGGCCAGAATAAAAGCAAAGTGTTGCCCAGAATAGGGTCAGTTCTGGTTCGTTTGGGTGAATTCTGGCTGATATGTGATATTGCTATGGCTTAATTGTGGCCCAGATCTGGAAAACAGCGGACCACCCAAGTGCCATCATTCCATATGGTATGTGGGCCGGATTTGAGCCACATGAATTTTGCTAGCTGGGTATGTTTCCCTAGAACCAATGTAATATTAGACACACTAACAAGGACACTTAAGAGCACAGCCTCTAGCTGGCCTCTATTATATACATTATAGCCACTGACTAGTATTCAACAATAGCCTCTTCTCCAGAATCAATTAATCACCAAGTGGTCATTTCAAATACAAGGTGACCCAAATCCAAAGTTCATTGTTTTTTTTTCTTGGCCAAGTAATGACACAGACATCTTCCTTCTCCTTTTTTACAGCCATATTTATAAAGGCACAGCTGAGTGAGCTCATGTCCTGTAGAGCCGCAGATTAGCTCAGGGCAAACAAGAGGCGGGTTAAAGGGGAACACAACAAGGCCGAGTCCTGATAATAGTGCTTTTGAAGGTGTTTGGATGAAAGCCACAGGGAAACCAAGGACATTTCCAACACACGGCTGTCTGATCATGGAGGAAATAACGTCTCTCATTGTGTGATCTTTCTTTTGGGATGCTTATATACTGATAGTTCAGTCATGATGTAGCTGGAGCTGATTGGTCAGCTTGTAATTGTGTTAATTGTTAGTATTTCATAATTTGTATGTGTATTCGTTTATGTTACTAATTTCTTTGTTTACGGTTGGCTTGAGTGGGAAGTCACATGATTCCCATTGATTGATTTAACCTGCGAGAGTTTGTATGCCAGAGGATAGTGAGATCTCAATGCAAGCACCTGTTAAATGCTTTTGCTTATTCTACAGCTGGTTATCAGGCCAACTTGGTAAACTAAAGTTGTTTTATATATTATTTGTTTATTTTGTTGTCCTTTTGATTGTTTTTGTGAAACATTTGGTTTGTGTATTTGTTTATCTTTTAGTTTTCACGGTGTTCGATAAAGAAAATCCATATAGACATCAGTATTTGGAAGCGTGGAGTGTTTCAATAACCGGCGGGTAGCTATACATGAGGTCTGGGGTCTCGTTTATAAATGTGGCGTACGCACAAAAAGGACGTGGAAACATTCGGAAGTCATATTAATTTGCTGCTTGTTCAAACTACTTATTTAAAATGAGCTGAATCAACATGTAATTAAATAGTTTTTGAGAAATCAATTGTGTTACGTTCAATTCACTTAAATTTGTTAAGTCGACTTAATCGATGTGTGTTGGGACAACATGAATGAAGTGCGTGAAACCATGCATTTTTTACAGTGAACTTCACATGCAAAAGTTGCCATTTATAAAATCGAACTTGACGGGAGAATGTGCGCAGATGTAAGCAAACTCTTCAGTAAACATATTTAACCACTTTAACTCATCATATTAGCCATAAAAAAAAAAAAAAAAAATATATATATATATA